CGGCGCTAGCCAAAGGCTCTTGGTGAACGCAATTTTCGCTGCCCTCTTTGTAACCACATAACTTCATGAGTGTATTCAGAGCAAGCCAACTTCTATCATTGCGAACGAATGTAAGCTTTACTGCTTGTTATTTGTTCTTTCTCACCAATTCTTGATTCTTTTTTTTCACAATGGAGATCTTACATCTTTCATCTGCTGTTTTTCAATGAGTGATTTCCGTCTTGGCTTTCATTTTCATCCGTTTCATTGTGTTATGACCAAAAACGGGGATAACTTACGATTGTTTCATGCAAAAATAATGGACAACTTCCGTGCCTTAGAACTGATATAATGGAACCTATTGCTATACAATAACAAAATACAAACCATATTAAACTATGAAACAGGCGAGATAGCAATGAGAATCAATAGTTTTAACACAAAAATTTCCTAAGCCTGATATGTCCTGCCTGCCAGTGAGTCTCCTGCAACCGCATGAAAATAGCATACAAAAACATGGCTACTTACCGAAAAACACCACGAAAGGGCAAGATCTTCACCTAATGAGGAAGAAACAAGAATTTGTATTGAATAATAAAGAACAATTAAGAAGTAATCAAGTTCTCATTGATAGTAGTTGAAGTTGACGTGCTCCACATTCGGGATGTTGTGCACTAGCAGAGAGAAGAGAATTTCGCGTCGATTATAACTGGGGCAATCAGTGGTACTTGCGTTCTGGATTATAAGTGCATGCATGCATATTCCAAGATAAGGACGATGCACAGCAGGAGCGTCAGAGGTGAAATCCAGAATCTATCCATTCGCCGGTGTTTAATGGGCAAACTTAGATTCACTGAAAAATTTCAAGCATAGGATCGGCGCTCATTCTGTTCCGCGTTTTACGTCAATTGAATCCAACCGCTAACTGTTGCTCCTAGCCCCTTTCAATGGCCTGCGTACGCGTAGTCCATGTTACCGAAGCTTAATTTAAGGCAAAAAAGAGCTAGCACTGAAGGATGACCGCGAATCCGTAAGCTCTTATTTTTTCCATAATTTCTTCAATTGTTTGCATGTGCTTAAGGCTTTTTCTGCTCAGAAATGGAGCTAAATTGTTTTTTTCCTGCCTCAAGTACACATAGCGTGAGATTTCGGTAATTCTCGTTCATTAAGAAAGAAGGAAAAGAAAAGAGCGTCAAGAGCTAACTCTCTATAAATACTGCTTTGTTCAGAATCAACTTCTGATCCATCTTGCCGCAACTTCATCGAATCCTTTTAATTGGCTAATGTTCACAGTTATTAGTGGTGTCATTAGCGAGCCAGGATGGCGGAAGTGGCAGTTATGAATTAACACTCCTATGTTGTCCCATTCCAGAGCTCGCATGATGTGCTCAAAAGTGACGCCGAAGGGTTGGTGAAATAACACTGCTTTGTCGTACTTACTTCTTCATGCTGATGATGTTGCCGCTGTGAATAG